CAAACAGGGTTGTTTTTTTCTTTTAAATAGTTTGACCTTTTTTTTTTTCTTGTCCATAGCAGGAGTCGGTCTGAAGCAAGCTAATCCACCATTGCTGGGAAAAGAGATTCTGCTGAAGATATTTAAGTCACATCTCAGACATTACATCATTTAACATAAAACAGGTGGACATTTCCTTATAGCCCAAATGCCATCGCATGCTCAGATTTCCTTCGTTATCTGAGAAAGGCCTTTTAACCATTGCTCTGTCTGAATCAGGATACACCAGGCCTGCGCATTACATGTGCTCATTACAGCTCTTAAGTCTTTTGAAATCTCAACTGTTTTCACTGTCATCTCTTCCTTTTCCTTCCATGACCCGTTAAGGACCCTGCATTGAGGTTCTGTGGGTTCCCACAGCCTCGGCTCAGCCAGCTGCTTCTCCACTCTCCTTTATCACTTGTGTTTCCCATAAAATGGAATTAAACTTTATGGGCTCCATTAGATTCTGTTTGGGTTTATTGGTTTCTGTTTGGTTTGGCAAGGTTGCTGTAAAGGTAATGCCAAATAATTTCAACCGTGTCCCCTCAGACAGCACTCTGTGTCTGTTTGCCCCATGTCAGTGACTAATGAGTGAGTTCAGATGGCAACAGTCTAACCCCACCACTGGAAGATTCCCCACCATCTTCTCATCTAGAAGCTCTGTCTAGTGACACATTTTCCCCCTGCACCAGATTTTCAGGAGTTGCAAACTGGTTTTTCAAGCTCCATCCCCATTCCACACTTCTCAGCTAAAACCCATAAACTAGATCTACATATTCATTCAGAGCTGTCGATTCAACAGGCAGGTTAAGCTCTCCTCTTCGGACCAGCAAATGCTTGATGTTCAGATTTTAAAAGCAGGCCTGGGCACTACACTGCCTCGCTCAGCCACTATTGAAGCAAGATGAGTGTTGGTGTTTCACAGTGGGGAAAACCGGGCATGCAGTGAAGGCCCTGCACAGGCTTCTTTGCTCTGTGTTCTTTGAATTCTCTAAGACTCCAATTCCTTGACCCTCAGCCTCTGCTTAGACATGAGAGTGAGGCCTGGTGTGCCTGCCGTTGGAAACAGTTGGAACTGAAGCTGGTGTGTGCTTCCTCTCTTCTCTGGCCAGAGTCCTTCCCTCCTGCACTCACCACAACAACACTGAGGGCAGCGTTCACGCCCTAGGCCCAGCCTTCTGGGTATGGGGTTGCTTGCCTTGTTCCTATGAAAAGAAGACTTGTAATATTCAGATGAGTACAATGCCCCATGAGCTGACCATGGTGGTCTATCATTCTCAGGTGTGTTTTTGTTGACGTATCTCTGAGTCTGGGGGCTGTGCATCCCAGCAGGCCCCCAGATCCTGTTGCATCAACTCTATGACCTTATTTGTCTCAAATCCTCCTTTTTTATGGCCACAGCCTTAACCCCAAGTGTCTCTGATGTATCATTTTCTCCCTCCGCTCAGGTCAACATATTGGAACTAAATATATGACTTGTAGGATTTGAGCACTAAATCATTCTCCTTCCTGAAATGTTATTTTAACTCTCGCATGAATGTTTGTCTGTCTGGTGGGATCATTGGGCCTTGAGGGAAACACTCATGTCTGTCCAGTGTGGTATTTCCCCCTTGAGCCTGGACACAATCCCAAATAGACATCAGTGGTTCTGGTTCTCTGTTTCCTATCTGGTGAAGCATTCTTCCCTCAAGAGAGTGCCATGGATAGGAGGACTTGGGAGCCGAATATATCTGCAGTGACCAGCCTGGCCTCAGGCACCTCCCTCCAGATCTGCATCCAGCCTCCCTGACCCTGACCACTGACCACCGACTCCTTCCCGTGCCCCTCTCCCCAACAAGCCCCCTACCAGCAACCCATTTTCTCCTCAGTCTAAACTAGCACCCTCTTGCCGCACCCCAAGTCACTGTGGTCCTTGCTGCTCCCCAAGTCACTGTGGTCCTTGCTGCTTCCCAAGCATCAGTGCCTGTGCAGGGAGCGCAGAGGGATGGATACTCATGCCCCTGTCTATGTTGTGACTTAATCCTTAGTTCTCCAGCTTAGCTCCGTGTCCACCAGGGCTAAGAATGCACCTTGGGCTCTTGCAGAGGCCTGATAGCACTGGACCCAGAACCCAGCCCCTCACAGCTGTGCTTTCCCCCTTGATGTTGCACCCTCATTCCCGTTCCACCCCCAGCAAACCTTCAGGCTCTCTCCCTGTGCAGCCCTTGATTGACATCTGATAGCCCTGTAGGTGAAGAGCAGCAGATCCTCAGCTCTCTCATCACTTCCCTGTGCATGGAAAGCCCACACCCCAAATGGACCACCCAGAAGGAGTGAGCCTCCCCCCACAGAGCAGCCTGGGGTGCTGCTCCAGCCGGTTAGCATGACTCTGATTGCACATGTCAGCTGGGAGGCCTCTGAGACCCAAAGTCCCTGGCCGCCCCTGACTGAGAGCTGGCTCACTGAATTTTTGTGTGGGTACCCCCCCACTCCCCACAAGAAGCTCCTGCTCACCCTCCCTTAAGAAACTCCACTCAGTTTTAATCTTCCGGTGACCCAGGCAGGTACCTGTCACGGCGTAATTATGCACCACTTTCTCTGCCATCACAGAACCGAAGGTTTTCTTTCCTTCTGCTCGCTGACATGACAGACACCCACTTAGCAGAGAGATTATTAGTATAAAATTACTTTTTGGCCTTTAAATTTAACTATACCATATTCACAGCAATAAAATAAAACCCCAAATCCAGGTGTGCCTTTCAGGGAACGTGTCTGGGGCAATTACCTTCTGATAATGGCGTCCAGCACTTAAGCCTTTTGTCTGGGGATCTTGAAATCATTTCCATACAACTCCATAATGATGTTCATTCTGGAAGGGACAAGAGGTTGACCTCGGAGCATACACCAGAGATGAAGGGGACCGGGGACCCAGGTGTCTGCTTTGTTCTCATCTCCTCCCTTTCTGGGTCTTTAAAGAGGCACGGTCCGCCTTCTGTGGCACAGTGCTTGCCCCCAGGTTAGCAATCTACCTTTCTATGAGCATGAATGGATAGGTCTCTATATCAAATTTCATGGGGAGGAACTGAATCAAGGAAATGGGGGTGCAGAAGATCTGTTACTCAGGAGCCCTTAACTGTGGACTCGGTGGGCTCGTAGATGAAGGGCAGCTGAAGCACAGCCACACGGGCTGGGACTGTTGAAATCAGCTCCTGGGCTGTCTGTGTGGCCATGGGCTATAAAGACAGGTGCCTCTGTCTCCATATCAGGACTGTCTGAATGCCCATCCTTCTCCCTCTAGTACAGTCATTCCAAGTTCTTGGGGGCCAGTTGACCCCATGTTTCCTTCTCCAATCCGCCCAGCCATCAGTAGGTTCTCTCCATTAACTGCTGTATCATTTTTGCCCTCCACTTAGGTCAACAAATTGGAACTGAATATATGACTTGCAGGATTTGGGCACTAAATCACATCCTTCCTATAATGTTATTTTAACTCTCATATGAATGTTTGTCTGTCTGGTGGGATGATTAGGCCTTGAGGGAAACACTCATGTCTGTCCAGTGTGGTATTTTCCCTTGAGCCTGGACACGATCCCGAATAGACATCAGAAGCTTCTGCGTTCACTTAAAACAGTGGTTCTCTGTCTGTGGGTCACAACCCCTGGGTGAACTTCTATCTTCCAAAAACATTTCCATTATGGTTCATAACAGTAGCAAAATCACAGTTATGAAGTAGCAATGAAAGCAATCTTCTGGTTGGGGGGTCACCACAGCATGAAGAACTGTGTTAAAGGATCGCAGCATCAGGGAGGTTGAGAACCACAGGCCTAGAGCCTGTTGGAGGCAGAATAGACACCGCAGGAGTCAGTATGATACAACACAGGCCTGAGTCCTTATTTTCTGCACCACACCCATCCTATGCTGTGCTGTATGCCTGTGACAGTCGGTAGCAACTGCCAATCAACAGCTAGGAGACATGCCTCTGGGCACATCTGTGCTGGGTCACTGAAAGCTTAGCTTCTGAGAAGGTCTAGAGGGGATTGTCTTGATTGTGTTGAAGTGAAAAAAAAACCCTCTTAATGAGGCTAGAGCTCCCATGCTAAGTAGAATGCAGAGGGCAAATTGAACATCAGTGTGCATGAGTTTATTGCTAGCCTCTTCTGACTGTGGATGGGCATAATATTACCCACTGTCTCTGTAGAGCCCCTGACTCTAAATTCCATGCCAGGATGGGCTGTAGCCTGGAACTGTCAGTCAATGAACTTTTTTCCTTTAGGTTACTTTTGTCATGGTATTTTATTATGGAAACAGGAGAAGAAACTAAGACAATGCGAAAGACCTCAAGTATGAGTTGAGTTACTTCTACATGTTGGATGTTATGAGAACATACAGATTGGGTTACCTTAACCAATGGTGAGAGAAAGTAAGCACACAGGTTCTGTAGAAAGGTGGACTGTGATGGGCGCTACAACCAAGATTCAGTCAGAGGGCTGTGCGGAAGAGGAATGGCAGCATCTATAGCATCTATTTGGAATCAGAGAAATGCTCATTTACTCAAAAATATATATTAATAGCATGCAGGAACACCTCCCCCCACCTGTGCTGCTTCTCCAGAGGAGGGAGGCACCTGCCTGGATGGTCATGTGGCCATCTTTAGAGCCATCTCTTAGTTAATACTGGCCCTGTGCCCTCCGTGTTTAAGCTGCTCTTTGTCTGTGAGCCCATGCAGCCTGTGGTTAAGTGCTCCTGTGTAGCTGATCCCTTCATTTATTCCACAAATATATAGTGATGGAGATGGGCTAGTGCTGGAGCTTCATGGAAGAAGATCTGGATCAGATTTATAATCCAGAATGCAGTATTGGCTTCTGGGTCACAAACTAATCTCCCTTCAGGAGCTCATTAGCATTCACAGCCAGCTACTCCCCTGTTCTCCAGTCTTGGGAGGAAATACCGACTGTGAAGTGAGAGCTACTGACACTGTTTGCCCTTTTGATCTCTTCCAGGATCTTTTTCCCTGGAAGCCATCCCGTCCGAGGTGTGCAAGTGATGAAAGTTGGCAAGCTGCAGCTACATCAGGGCATGTTTCCCCAAGCCATGAAGAACCTGAGGCTGGTGAGTGCGCCAAGACATGGGCTCTGCCGAGCGTACCTTCCTCTAGCTGTTGCCAGGCCTCTACTTGGTGACTGCTGAGCTCTGTTTTTAGCATGTGGGCACACACACACACACACACACACACACACACACACACACACACACACCGCCCAAGTGTGCTGGTAAATGTTTAACAGCCATCTCTAAAAACATTTGTATCACTTGCCAATTTCTGTGGTATAAATGTACCCAAATGTAATTCATTTTACACTGCTAGTATAGACTCAATCTGCTTGTGTATTATTTGTGCACGTGTGTGTGTGCAGGTGCTAGTATAGGTGTGTGTGGAGGCTAGAGGTCAGCCAGGTGTCATTCTTCAAGAGCCATCCACCTTATTTGGAGGAAACATGGATTTTTCTGGCTTGGAGATCACTAATTTGGACTGTGAGTGTCAGGGATTTGACTGTCTCCATTTCCCAGCATTGGGGATTACAAGTCCACTCATCTACCCAGCTTTTAAAGTGGGTCCTAGGGCTCAAACTCATGTCCTCATGCTTGCATGACACTTAACCTACAGAACTATCTCCCCGGACTCCTAATCATGATGATTTTAACAGGTGCTCTTACAAACTGGTGTGAGTCTCAGACAACCACTACAAGCATGCCGTGACCCACAAACCACCCTTCTCCACATTCTCTGAACATAGTATGTCTCTTTTATGGTAGGAAAGACCTGGCCATCAGTCTAGTGTCTGCATCTCCCCTTTCCTCTCTCCACTGCCAGAACAGGGCGGTGCCCTTTGTCAATACTGGCTTACTAACTTAGGTCTTTACAAACCATTTCCTCTACCTCAAATGTAGCTCCTAGCCTCCAGGGCCTGGCAGGACTCTACTGGTCCTTCAGGGCTCAGCTCCAATGTCTTTGTTTTCTTGGTTCTTACAGCTGTTTCTGGCTCTGCCAGTGGAGCACTTCCTCTATTTCAGTAGGGGGACCACTCTCCCAACCCCAGCAATCTGGAAGTCATTGTTACCGTCCTTGTAACTAACTAGCTCAGCATCAGGCAAAATACCTAGAGCTAAGAATATATTTGTTGTTGGAGAAAGGGGAAGGGAAGGAGTGAGAAAAGTCAATACAATCTTAGCAGTAAGATTAAACTGAAAATAAAGACCTGAGTTACTGCTGGAATGCATTGCTAAAGGGTCACTTATTTTCACCCTCTTAAGGAGTTTCTCTGCCTGGAACAGCTCAGAACTCTCCTGGCTTGGCCTTCCCACACCTTCAGACTTCCTCTCAGCAGTCCATGGCAGTCAGGTGCTTACCTGGTCCCTGCACTGGTAGGTCATAGGAGACCTGGACTAGCTTTCCTGGGGAGCCTTTGGCACCTGAAGAGGTCTTCTGGGACCCACTATTCATGTTTCAGAAGGGTGGTGGTAGAATGGTTAGGCACCACAGCAAGCCTTCCCAGGGAGTGTCTAGGGACTGACTGAGCCCATATCTTGGCATTTTTAGACAAGAAAGGTGATAAATGCCTAAAGGGTTATTAAGATCATCTTGCATTGAATGCTAGCCACATTGGCTGTTTCTGCTCCCTAAGTGACATCAGGTGTCAGCCAATGGGAACAACACTGGAGCTTCCTGGAGGTGTCCCTCTCTTTCCCTTAGTCCTTGGGCATCTTCCCCAGATAAATGCAGGGATAATCTCCTGCAGTCTTGGGGAGAATGTCCCGTCTCTTCTCTGTTCAAGTACGTGTCCACCAGTTAGTCCAGCTAGACAGAAAACACTTCCTTTGGTCTGCTGAGTGAAGGCTCCAAAGGAAAGCAACAGTGTAGTGAAAGCTTCCCATGTATATCATGTACCCAATCCAGGGTTGTCATGTAAGTTGATATTTCATAAGTGGTCAGATTGGCCCTTCAGTTTATGTGGGGCTCATACATACGTGGTTATCCTTGGTCCTCATGACAGATGACAGCTGTAAGGCTAGACAGGTGTTTCCACTCATGTTTAGAAACTGAAACACTAAGTTGCAGAGGTGCAAAAGCCCATTTAAATCTCTTAGAGGCACAACCAGTTCTGTGTATCCCGCTTAATTCAGTATGAGTTGCTGATTAAATAACACTGCTATTCTGAGTGAGACCCATTATCATCCCTACAGTTTAATGGAGGAAACAGACATGGGAAAAGTTTTTAAAAATCTACTCTAGAACGCAAGGCTCCTCCCTTCTCTCAACTGTCCCATTTAAGTAGGTGATTCTCTCTGGAAACACTCAGCATACAGAAATGCCTTCAAGCCCAGCTGAATTCCTGATGCCGTTTAGGAGGCAAGCTGGGGGAGACATGAGAGCATGTCTGGCTCTCTTCCGTTCTTCACTGGGGGCTGAGTCCTTGCCGTCATTGGAGCACTTCAGCTGGGGCATCAAGTCCACCAGGGTGGGCTTATGGTGACGTGGCTTGTGTGGGAGATGCAGGCCATGGCCAGAGCCTTCTGACGACCCTCATGTTGCCTGCCACCCCTGCACACTTGTCAGCTCACCCACTCTTGCAGACAGACCCCACAGCGCAACCACGCTGGCCTCCGCTCCAGTCTGCACCCTGCTTTCCAGCCCTTCACAACAGCCAAATCATGCAATTTTACTCTTCCCATTTCTTACCTCTGTGCTCATGTTCACATTTAGGAATCTGATCAGAGCCTCTGCCTCGCCAGAGGCAAGTAAACAGGCCACAGTCCTGTATAGAAGCCCTCAAAGCCTTTCTAAGACTCTTCAAGTGTATTCGGCCCCTCTGCACGTGCAGGGTCAGGACTTGGCATGGGGTTTGGCAGGGGGTGGGGAGGAAAAGAGGACAAGAGGGAAAAGGACACGGGACATATGCTATAAGTGCCACTGATGCCATCAAATCTCCTGGCTCTGATACTTAGGAATGTCGCCTACTAAGTTCTAATAGGAAATTATAACATCGGGTGTGTGTTTTTAAACAACAAGAAAAAGGAGATGTAGCTAGAGAGAGGGCTCGGTGTTTAAAAGTGCTTGCTGCTCTCCCAGAAGACATGAGTTCATTTCCCAACACCCACTTTCGAAGGATTACAACCTCTTGTAACTCCAGCTTCATAGAATTCAACGCCCTCTTCTGATGTCTGTGGGTCCATGGGAGTGTGCTCACATGCACACACACACTCACACACCACACATGCACCCACCACACTACACACACACACACACAGGTTTTTAAAATCAAATGTTATAAAAGAGGGGAAAAAGAAAAAAATGATGGTTGAAATGCAAGCATAGTGATTAAATCGTATTAAAGCAAGCATGCATTTCCCTATTAGTGATTCTAAACTCCATAGTGGCAAGGAGCTGGGTAGGAAACCTATATTCGTGCCTCATGTTGCCACCAACAAAGTCATCCTCCCACCCCCTTCCAGAGTGGTGCCAGGGGCAGCCAGATGGAACAAGGTTTGCATAAATTCAGATTCTCAAAAAGTTCTGATTTCAGTGGAAAATCACTCACCATACAAAGAAGCAGTCTTAATCTTTCACAGCGATCAACAGATGCCTGCTTTGCGATGGCAGATCCATTAGAATTACTTGAGAGTGATTTTACAGCAGCCATTATCGAGATGCTTCAGTGAGCAATTACAAATACTATCCAAACAAACGGAAAAACATAGACAGTCTTGGTGAAGAGAGAGAAGATGTGAAGGAACAAACAGATTTAAGAGCAATAAATTCAGGAACCCAGCAGTGGAAGAGTGCTCACAGCACGGACTGGGAAACTCAGACAGAAGGATAGAACTGAAAGCAATGGTACAGGAGGAAAGCATAACCAAAGTAAAGCTGAGCAAGGCCTTGGGGACCCGGGGAACCAGTGACCAGTAATGTTAGGCATCTGACATTACACTCCCAGAGGGAGAAGAGGAGCAGGGCAAATATAAAAAGTACTGGAAACAATAGTAGAGGCATCCAAACTAGAAAAGGTAAGCTTGATCTCTGTCCACCAATGACAAAACTTTATATGTTGAACACACACACACACACACACACACGCACGCACGCACGCACGCACGCACGCACGCACGCACGCACGTATGCACACACATTATAACTAATAAATTAATTAAATTATTATAATCTAAAGTCAACATTCATAGGTCACTTGTTCTATAAACTAACAAAAAAAGAAACTATTTCCATAAAATCCTTAGAAATTAACCAACATGATGAAGGAAAGACATTAAAATATAAACAGTGACATCTCATGCATATGGATTGGAAAACTGAAGATATCAGCATTGCTCAGAGTTATATACACATTCCCAGTAAAAGCCAATGATGTATTTTTTTTTTTTTTTACAAAATAGAAAAATCAATCTTAAAACTCACATGGAAACTCAAGAGACCCTTATCCCTAACAAAATAGCCAAAACAAATGTCTAAAAAGAACCAGTTAGGGAAGTCAATTCCTGATTTCAAAACTTACTACAAAGCTATAGTAATCAAAACAGTGTGTTACTGGTAACAGATGGATACATAGACCAATGTATCCATAGACAATAGAAATCCAGAACTAGACCCTCATACATATGGAAAAGTAATTTCCAACAGCACCACTCGCTAATTACATACAACAAGCATGTGTTATATGATTCCGCATTTGTGAGGCACCTAGAACAGATGCACACAACAGAAAGGAGAGCAGTGGTTGTCAGGGTCAAAGGGGAACACAGAGGGTAGGTGCTCATTATGTAAGAGACACAACCTTTCAGCATCAATCAAGAAAATGTCCTACAGGCCAATGTGGTGGAGGCATTTTCTCAATTGAGGTTTCTTCTTCCCAAATGACTCTAACTTGCTATCAAGTTGACATAGCTGACTCGCTGGCTAACATGATAAAGCTTGGGATATTACCTTTGTATTTTACTACAATAGTTTTCTTAAGTGATGGAAAACTACCTGAATTTGACAAAAAAGATATAAAGCTAAGCAAATCCCCCCACGCCCAAATTAAACCTAAAGACATTCT